TGTAAATATTGCGTCAAAATCAAATCAATTTGAGCGCGATTTAAACCCGGATGATTGTAACCACTCTAAGTTCTTCTGCCTTGGGAAAGCTAGCGTGTCTCAGACACAGTGATAGCACTCGTTGCCTTCTCTAGTGCAGCTCAACCAGGTCTCGTCCCATTCGTCAGTATTTGTGATATCACAAATCCCGGAAAATATGCGTTGTAGTCCAAACGAGTCGTTCGTTGTAGTTTTTGAAAAGTGATTTCTGTTAAATCAAATATCTCCTTTTGAAGTGGACTTTGAGCGTTGTAACTTTGCAGATCTTTTTTATGCTCAAACAGCAACATTACAGACTAACTAAAGTTGAAAAAGTGAAAAGCATAATAGGACCCCTTTAAATTATTATTACTATTATATTTAATTGATTTTACTTTAGGTAAGGAAGTGTTACATGGTGATTAATTTGATTTTATTTCTTTTGACAGAGCCTCCACCTTCCTATGAAGATAGCTGCAATATATAGGATGTTTCCCAACCATACGAAGAAGGGAGAAAAACACTGAAACCATTCAAAACACTCCTGTGACTTTATAATAAATGCAGACCTCAAGCACTTTTGAACCAAATGTGTAATTATACAAATTCTGTATTCTTACGAGGTCTGTGCTCAAGAATGTTTTTGTTTAACCTATTTAACCTAAGAGGTCAGCTGATACAAAACTTCAGATTTGGTTTGGCAGCTATTATGCCAAACAGTTGGAAAATGCTTTTCATTTTCGTCTTTGCAGATGATCTGTAAAATAGATCTGCCTCTTGCAAGGTTATTTTACCACTTGTTTTTAGGAGTTTTATCAGGAGTTTTATTTTTTAGGAAGAGTATTAAGTACTCTTTTACTAGACTATCCCTTGTTTTGTACATTTGTGTTTGCAATCACTCAACCCCCAGGGTCAATTTTTTTAGCATGTGTATGCTTTGTTTTTATGCTCCTGATAAACTAAGGAAGAATCAGTTTGATTTAAATTGTAATTTTATAGGCACATATCCTCAAGTCATTATACAAGACTGCTGAATATATAGTTCAAGTTTTGTGGTATTTAATAATTTGTTTCTCACTTTAATGATTCATTTCTGCCTTTGTTAGTATTGCACACTACTTGCATATTAAAAACTTTTTTTGTTTGTTTTGTATTTGAACAGTGATTTATATTTAGTGTACAGATTAATAAAAATTTTAAACTGAAAAACATCTTGCATTTTGTACTGTTAAACAGAATGGAAATTTATCATTGGCATTGCTTGTGACTTTGATATGGATCTTTGATCTATTTACAGTATTTCTTACTTGTTTGGTGAAGATCTTCACCTACCTAGGACTGGACGGTAGAGCTTGCTTAAAAGCATCAATAATGGCCTTAACTCAAGCTGTATGTGTACCATAATGTAGCAAGTGTGAAAGGAGAAATTATAGAGTTTAGCTTTAAGTGCCAGTTGCTGCATATTGGAAAATGTGCAACTAAGACTGAAATTGCTGACCACCCTGAAAGTCATTATATAATTTGCAAAGGAATTTCTGTAGGTACAGTTATTCTTTGAGGCTCAATGTGTTGAAATTCCCCACTTGCAAACAATATTGTTTTTCCCCCCTTATTTAATTTGATTGTGATATACGTGATGCTTACGCTTATGTTTTGTACAAAGAAGGTAAAAAACAAAAGTGCTTGAATGGCATATAGTGACCCCCTCATTTAGGCTAATGTCTTTTCTTACTAAAAAGTTGTTAGCTATTGAAACATGCATCTTGTAATATGTGGACTGAAATTAGTTATGTGAATTTTGTACATGCCATAATAGTTCATTAGACATCTTTTGTTGTGGGACTTTTGCTTCGCAGTCTTTGTGGGCCTGAGGTCTACACACTTTACTTAGCAACCAATCCCAGACTTAACCCTCTGTTCATTTGGGATTCACACTTGTGTTGTACGTGGTCAAAAGTGACCGGACACCTGAAATGTAACCTTTTTTTATTTTCAGGTTTTATACATTTTTGTTCAATAATATTTTTTCTTTTGTATTTTGAGAGGATTTCATTGTACTAATTAATATTTATGCAATAATTATGATAAATTTTCCCCCCCATTGAAAATAATACAATTGTTTTCTAATATTTTTCTATT